GGTTGTGGAGAGAATGGAGATGGAATCTGGGGCTAAACAAGGACACGAGGAAGTAGGGGAGGAGGCCAGTAGGAACGTCAGGGATGGATGCTGTGAGGGAAAACCGGGAGTGTGAGCTGACGCTGCGTGAGAGCGTCAGTGAGAGTGATGGTCCCTCCATCTGCTGTCATCTTCCTGTACACCTATTTACAGCAGTGATGGACAGCAGACCAATCAACGGGGTCGTTAGCTTCGTCTTGGTGTGGCCCCTGCTGGGGAAAAAATGAAGTAAAAGAAAACAGACTCGGTCGGCTCCGTCAGTGTTTCTCACCCCCCCGTCCTCTGCTGCTGATCTATATTTTGTGCTTTGTGATTCTGCTCTTCTCTCTCTCTCTCTGGATTTCATCTTGTCAGCACCGTCTCCGTCCTCCCTCGCCCTCCTGTTTCATTTCCTGCCCACTTTCTCTCACCGTCTCCTTTTATTCCTCTCAGAAATGAAAGTGAGTTTTTTTAGACATCAAGCTTCAGGCAAACCAGTAGGGTTCCTGAGCATGTGTTAACCACTCCCACTTTCACACACACACACACACACACTTGGTCACGATCACACACTCGTAGCCGACAGCTGTCTTTGCACCTGTTGGCTTTGGTTCTTTTGGCTGAGAATTTCAAACTCACGCTCGTACACTTTTTTTCCCAGTTCCTCTGACTCGTCTTGGTCTGAACCCTGGTTGGATTCTGGCAGTGAATCAGAAACACTTCACTTCATTGACAACAAATGGAAATCACAGAGCCTCACATCAGGCCCTGTATTCAGACTGATCTGTATTCAGACTGATCTGTCTGCCTTGATTTTCTTTCATTTGTGCAGTTTTACATCCCGTCATGTGTCGTCTTTCTCTCTCTCTGAACAGTAGGACTGTTTGGAGAAGCTGTTTGTTCACTCAGTTTTATTAAAAGATTTGGGAAACAGCAGGGCCACATGGTGGAAGAGGTCACCGGTTTGATGCTCAGTGGTTACTGATTGTTATTTGGTATGAAGAGTGGCCCAGTCTATTTTGGTTTGAACAAAAAAAGACTGAATCACAACTGACTGACGTTCAGACTGACTAACCTACAGACTGAGCGACTGACTGTCCGTATGAGGTGGTGTCTCTGCAGCTCTTCAGTTGTCATCCCTGTTCTTCTTCAATCTCCAGCCTTGTTTTATTGAGTCATTTGTTTTAATTATCATTCTTGAAGGAAACGATCCCTGAACCAAAGAGGCCACATTGGTCCGACCTCTGGTTGGAGATATTGATTCAAAGATTGATCAGTCAATCAATGAAATCCAGACTCCAGCACTGGTATCAAATCATCCTGAGAATCACTAACACATCAACTCTGTATGAACCTCAGTAACGACTTGGCTAACGAAGTGTGACGTCCGCCCAGAGGACCTGTATCTGTTCCATTTTTCTTGTCTTTTGTGTTTGGAGTGAAGATGTTTCAACGACTAAAGTCACAGCTAATTTATTTATACTGAATTAAACAGCCACAAAAATGAGGTTAGGTTGGAGAAAAAAAAGAGTGTTTTGTTATTAAATACAGCAAACATGACGGCTCATTACAGAACAGGAGTCTCTGACAGCCGTGAGGTCTCAGCAGACTCATAAGTCAAGAAGAACAGGCAGAGAAAGACGGGCGGCGTCTTTATTTAGCTAATTCTACAGCCTCGCGTCCCACTTTCTACCTGTTCTTCTTAATGATCCAGACCTGGATTTCCTCAGTCACTAAGTCACGTTCATCATGTTCAACCAATAAAATACTTACAGTATATAACAACACATAAACACAACCCAGATACGCACAGACATACAAACTTTAGCACGGAATGTTGAGCTAACAGTCCTCTGTTCTTAGAATGGCCTTGTATGAATTAACAGCCAATTAGCAAAACTTGTACATTTAGTACATTTAACGTTAACTGTCCTTCAAGTATTACATAACCAATGCTCCCCTCTAGCTGTGTTGCTGCACGACGTTATGTTGTTTAGTAAGCAACAGGCAGAGGATGAAGCGTAAAATGGATTTTGTAACAACCCTATCTCACAGTGATTGTTAAATCAAAGTCTGCAGAAAGTGTCGGAGCTGCTGAAATCTACTAATTACACCGGTTGATTGGATGTGTTAGTCGTAAATGTATTTTGTTTGAAAAGCACAGCTGGAGTAAATTTGGTGTATTAGCAATTATCATTAGCCTCGTAACACTGTTGCACGAGAACCGTTTTTCATGTGGGGGAAAAAAACGGAATCAGCAGCGTTAGGACAGTAGAGATGGACAGAGATCAGAATTTGGCCGAAATAAGACATAGCCTATCGTTAGCTATGATGCTAACAATATTGAATATGCAAAGAAGCTTAAGTGGCTCAGGAGCCACAGGTTGATCAGCGAGTGTAGGGGGTTAAAATAATCCTAATTTTCACCGACTGGTCCTTGAACCCACGTCAAACTGAAACCCTGACCCTGACGCCTCGTCCCAGAGAGACTGGGACACCTTGGCTCCAGCCTCGTTATTTATTTATTCATATATTTTTTCTCATCATTTTCATCTTTGTCCATCTGTGTCCTGTGGGCTGCTCTGTCTTTGACCATTATCATGCTCCTAATGCATCTCACCACACTCTGCTCTCCCTCTGGCATGCCATCCATCTGACTAATGGGCCAGCAGGGCGCGGCCGGCCAGGCACAGTGCTTCGGTGTGTGTATGTGCGTCGATCAATCGAGTATCTGAAAAGTCAAGTCGTCGTCGTCATCATCGTGTAAAGTGGTTCTGCGTACGCTCCCCTGTCGCACTCGGCCGGTCGAACTCTGTAAATGCGGTGCTGTGATCACTGTCAGGTTGCTCCTCTGGTGTGTCCTCAGCCTGGGCCGTTATGGATGAAACTGAACACCCTTGAAGCTCGGCTCACGTACGAGGCTGCAGGTTGATAATGGGAGGGCGCGGTGTTGGATCGGTCTGAGAGGAGTTTATTCAGCAGAGAGGTGCGCAGCAGAAGGGAAGGTCATCTGGGGTGATTCCCAACCAAACTGATGACTGAGAATCATCATCATCAGCTCGGTGCTGCGTGCTGAGTCAGACCAATCAGAGAAGAGCTTTAGTTGTTCATTACAGACCAAAACAGCACAGCTAAAAAAGAAGCTATATATTCAACTATTCTTCATGTGTTGACAAGAATCTTTAAATCAAGTACAAGGGCCTGAACTTTTTAAGATTAAAATACCTTAGAACAGAAACTGTAGATTTATATAAATGACTTTGTGGATCTTTAGATAAACTTCATTTTTTAAAACCCTTTTACTGGTTTTTAACATTATATTATCTTATTATGGAAAAACTGTGGATGGGGTTTGTTCCTGGAGGGTCAGAGGTTCAAATTCCACCTGGATGCAGTGTGTTGAGTAAGCACCACTCCCCTCGCCTCCGACACAGGGGTTTCATTTTATTTATTGTTCAAATCCTGAAAAACTGAGCGTCAGAGTGCGGGAGAAGGGTGACATCAGAAAATCCCCCCCACTGACTCAGCCAATCAAAATAAAGTATTTTTAACTTTTTTTTTAAAATATAGAACTATTTCAAAAATGGTTTCCAGATCTGAATCTGTACAGAGCAGAGTTGACTGCGGCAAGGGTTGTTTTTTTTCATTTTCTCTCAGCGTGATCCTACACCGTTTTTTACCTTTATTTTGTTTTTGTAATCGCAGACCAGGTCTGCAGCTGATTCTCAGGTCAGCGAGCCAACGACCAAATAAATCACGGGACGCTCACAGAAGAGGAGATCTAACGGTGGAGCCTGCAGACACGGGCGGCAGCGCCGAGTTGAGCTCAACTCCTCTGTCTGCTGGTGTTCTCTGTGATGAATTATTTAGTGTTCTGCACTTCTGCTGCTGACAAGCCAGGGTGTGTGAGTGTGAGTGTGTAAGTTTGTGGTAAGCTGTGAGGACAAATTGTGACTCTCAAAGGTAACTGTGAGGACATGATATCATTTTTAATGGTCTTCGTGATGATGATGTCATTTAAATGAAGGTGAGGTTTATGGTCTGCTGTTTGGTCGTTAGGAGTCAGAGGAGGCAGACAGAGGAGTCGCCAGTCTGTGATATTAATGACATGGAGAGGTGGAGATTAGAGAGGGGTCTTCATGCACTCACCCCTCCCTCCCCCTTGTCTTCTTCTCCTGTCTCGTCTCCACTCCTCCTCCTCCCATCTCCTTTCCTCTCCCCTTTTCACCTTTTTCATCTCGTCTCTTCTACTTCACACATCTTCCATTACACGTCTACCCCCCCTCGTCGTTCCCTCTATTGTCTCTCACTCCTGACTCACTCTGCCTCCTGGCTACCAGTCCCTGACTCATGTTTTTCACAATGCTGTCTGTGTGTCAAGGGCAGACTCAGAGCCCAGAGGAGACGAGGAGGATGGGGGCAGGGACTGGGATCAAAAAAACAAAACAAAAACTCTGGAATTTTGTAGTGGCAGGAATCAGTTCAGTTCATCTCTGGGACAAAGTGTTATACGGTGGTTGTTATTGCCATGCTGTTCACGTTTGAACCATTAAAGGTTTCAGATTAAAGTGTAGCACAGGTTCTCCTTTGCTGAATGCGTTTTCTTTGATTCTGTCGTAACGGCCACTTTCCTGGGCAGGTCTGCGATGAAAAAGTTTGAATAAAAAAACACCTTGTCAGCAGTATGTTCAACTCATCTGCCGTAAAACAACCCTTTATTGGGCGCCCTCGCTCCGTGAGACACTATTTATAGTCAATTTGCCTCCATCCTGTTGAGGAAGGGTGGCAGCTTCATTTCACCAGGGCTCTATTAGAAAAGCACACAGTGAGGTGTCAGCAGAATGGCATCATCCTCAGGTTCCAGCCAAAGATACTGGTGGGTGTTTTTATGGACAAATGAGGAGAAATATACTGCCTTCATGATCGCAGATCGCACGCCATGTTTTTGGATTGCGCTAACTCGCTGCCTCCGCTCTCCACAGCGTGTCTGCTGCAGTCTGAACTCGTCAACTACGAGAGGGTGAAGGAGTACTGCCTGAAGGTGCTGAGCCACCAGAGAGACCACTTCAAGGCCATGTACCGAGCCGGCATCGCCTTCTATCACCTGGGTGACTACGAATGCGCGCTGCGTTACCTGCGTGACGCCAAGAACCGCGAACCCACAGGTGAGAACCCAGACTGATACGGGGAGCAGAAGCCTGAGGTGGGGTGTGAATCAAAGCAGCTATTTGTTTTTATTTAATGACAACAATTTAGCATCCTAGCAGCAGGCTAATAGCACCTGGATATGATAAATATATACTAGTTTCTCCAGGCTAGGCTAAAGAAAACCAGAAACCTTCCTCTAACTGTCTTCCTCTCTGCCTCCCCTCCGTCACAGACACCAACGTGCTGCGGTACATCCAGCTGACGGAGATGAAGATGAGCAAGAGCGGACAGCGGGAGCGAGAGAGCGGCAAAGAGACCCTGGGCTAACCCTTGACCCTTTCATCCTCCTGACCCTCTGACCTCTGACCCAGAATGACCCTCCTTGGTTCCACCTCCTCCATCCACTCTGACAGCGGAGCAGCCCACAGACCCATGAGACAGTCCCAACCCGGCTGCCAACGATGGACAAAGAGAAGGAAGACATGTCAAGATCCGTCCGCCACTGCATCTGTCTCTCTCACCCTCTCCCCTCCTCCCCCCTCCACCTCCCTCCTCTCCCCCTCTTCTCCCTCAGGTGCTGTGGTTCCTTCATTTAGATGCAGACAAGAACAAGGACGGAGGAAAACGGTGTATGATACTCCTGTGACACGGCTGTTACTGTGGGCTGCAAAAAAAAGGGATTCTTCAGAAACATAAATATCAGATACATGCTTAATTTAGTGAACATTTAAAGAAAAAAGAAAAAAAAACAGAAATGCATTTTGGTTCTGCTCACTTGCTTCTTTTTTTTGTCCTGGCCTTCCTGACCAGTCCAGAGGACATGAGTGAGTTCAGAGGAATCTTATGGGGGGAAAAAGTGGGGGACAACATCTGGACCACAACATCTGGACCACAGCCCCGCTTGTGTATCAACCCCAGCAAGAGTTACTCTGACCTTTGACCTTCTGGGACAGTAAAAAACAATATTCATGAAGTAGAGAATTGGCCTGTCTCTGTGCTCGGTCTCTGTTTACGTCACGTTGTAGTTTCTGGACTGTTGTTTGAATTCAAGGGCTAATTTCAATGTTTAAAATCTGTAACTAGAAATTGTTTTTTTAAATTATTATTATTATTATTATTGTTTCTTCCAACTGCATCCATCGCACTGCAGTTACCGACTGGACGGTTGTGTTGTCTCTTTTGGCTGAAGCCCCCTCTGGGACTGTGTGTCGTTGATGTTTTTGACTGTGGAAGCACATCACCCCTCCTCCCTTCATCCCTCCCATCTCCTTCCCCATCAGGTCTCCCAATGATGATGTCACATCGGAAAAAAAGCCAGTGTTACCTGGGTTCTATTGATCCTCCATTGTTTATCTGGAGATCCACTCTCACGGGTTCACAGTGAGAAACACCTTCTCAAGGTCTCACGCCTTCTCGCTGAGGCTTCGCTCACCAAACACCAACACACAGGGAAAACAATCACGGACTCTTGTGTTTGGATATCCCCAAACCTCCTAATCAGAGCAAGCCGTTTGAGATTCCTGCCTCTTTCTGTTCACCGTGCGTCATTGGGTAGAAACGTGTGTTTGGACACTCCTGTCAACATTAGCTTCAGACGCCCCTGGCCACAGCAGCAAAGCTTTCTCACCGCTCTTGTGATTCGTGAGCCTCAGTCACTGATAATGCTTCTATATTAGCTTTAGCGTAGGCCGCGATGTTTGGCACAAGGCTGAACTGATGATTCCTGAAAGCATGTCCTGAAGTGCGATGACATAAAACCCCACTTCCTGTTTCCCATGTGCTCGTCCACACCTTTCTGCATGTGTTGCTTGACTCCACAGATGTCAGATGTCAGCGGGGGGGGGGCAGCTGGGAGGGTCTGGAGGGTCCAACCTGCTGCAGCGCTAATGGACATGGCATGCTCCTGCAAAACAAGCAGTCCAATCTTTTTTTATATATTCATTCAGTCCTTTGTTAAGGCCAGTGAAGAAACGAAAACATTTGCAAGGCGGAGGGTCTTCAATAATGTAGCGTCACCATATTATTCTGCAAACTGGGAGAAAACAGCCTCCCCTGCCCACCTCCTCCATTTTTCCATTGACCTGACTGAAGGAAATAGGGGACCTAAGTGTGTCATTGGGGCTCTGGAGAGATGGCACTGAAGCGCCGATAGTTGGTCCAGTGGAGGGAGAAGTAGGCCATCGTCAGCCGCAGTAAAGCAGCACCTGCAGCTCCCACTCTGGCAGGAGAGGCACATTACAGAAGTTTTATTCATAACTATTCACTGTAGAGATGAAAGATGTAGATCATGTCAGCTGGTGGACACAGGAAGTCTGATGATGGACAGAAGCGCTCTGCAAGTTTTTATAACTGCTTTCCTTCAGATCTTAAAGAAAAAGTATTCTGATTATGATCCCATTTAGAGAAAAAACAAGTCAAAGCAGGGGTGTAAATTCAATTGGAGAAAAGGTGAATATGATTGGTCACAGTGTGTGATTGACAGCTGCATTGCTCAATAGGAGCCGGGTCATATTGTCATAACATCAGGGTTTTTAGCCTAATTATCGATGCAGCTGTCAATCAAATGGACTAGCCAATCATATTATTACTGTAGAGCTTCACCTAATTGGGGTTTTGTTTTTATTTACATGAGATTTTAATTTCTAAAAGTGACATCGAAGTTACTGTTAAGTCAGAAATGGAAATGAAATCACATTCTATAGATTCTGGAAACACATTTCCAGCATTCTTTTGAGTTCAGCCCTGCAACAAGAGCCTGTGATGGACGTAGCTCTGCCCAGTTCCCATATATAGTCTATGGCTTGGCCAGATGGACAAATCTATCTATATAGAATGACATATATATATATATATAAATATATATCTTCATAATTTTTCAAAGAGTAACTAAGGACATAATATGTGTGATTTAAACATTAGGTGAGTGACTAAACACATAAGAAAAACATCTGGTCTAATCTCACATCTCTAAAAAAGAAAACACAAGACAACACAAGTGGTTTTTATCTCTTACAAACAAGCTAACATGTTAGCTTTATAGGTAAGACCCTGTTGGAATTGCTGTCAAAATGTTGGACTCTTATATAATTACCTTTCTCACATCTATGATGAGGATGATGAAGGTGGCCTCCCTCAGCCGATGTACATGAGAGGCAGAAACCCTCCTCCCTGCTGATGTGCCTCTGAGCTCTGTGCTCCTCTCTCTCTCTGACGCTGCTTTCCCAGAGGAGAGAACTCAAACAAACAACAGTGAGGAACGGCACCTGCAGGCTCCATCACCATGGCTGCTTGCGCTATAACTGCTCACCCACTGGCCCCCGGGGGACTGGTCTCTTCCCGTGGCTCTCTCTCCATGGCACCGGTCGGCCATCTTGTTTCTGTCTTGCTGCGCTAAGTCATTCTTGCTCCTCGCGCGCCACCACCGTCTCATCATAACTTGCTGAACAAACTGCAGACTCACCCCTGGCTGGTGTTGGATTCTTAGCAGAGCTGCTGTGATTCTGACAGCACGCCGTCTGCACAAGTAGACAGACCTGAACCTCGACGTCAGTGTAGCTTTGAAAAACGTACAAACAAAAAGCACAAAAAAAAAAAAAAAAAAAACAGAAGGGGAAAAAAAAAGAAGTCGAACTCCTGGCTGTGTTACTTTCTTCTGTTGGCTCTTTTTACTTTGATGTCATTTGAGGTAAATGTTCGTCAAGTAGTTTTTGTGACAGATAATACAAATGTACAAAAAAAAAGTTTTATGGTTGTGAAAAGCTTTACTTTACTCGATTGCTTTATCAACTGAAAAAGAAAAGCAAGAGATAGAAAAGAGAATTTCTGATGGCTCCTCCACCGGAGCTGCTTGTGACTGTGTCGGTATTCGTTGGTACTATTTTTTTTTGTCCTGGTCATGGGATCCAGACTCGGCTCAGAGAACTGTGTGTATGTGCAACGCCCTTGGCAGGACCACAGGAGGGGGACTGGAACTCTGAGGAACTGGTACCAGAGCGCTGAGCTGCTCCTCCACCCTGTCTGTCTCTGACAAAGTAACCTGAAGCTGGAGAAGTGGAGGCTATGACCGCGCTTTTGTCTCCTTTCGCCTCGTAACCCGGAGGCCTCTTCTTTTCGTTCTTTTTAAATATTCCTTTTTACCCGTTTGGCCAGCCAACAGCCACCAGGGGACGCCTGTGACAGTGGACTGACAGTGAACTGCTAACCCGGGAATGCACTATTGATTGGTAACTGATGAATATGAATAAAGTTTCAAATGAACAGGAATCTCTTTTGTCGTCACAGTTTCTGAAGACTCTTGGTCTGCGTCTTGGTGCTGCATACAGTAAAGGGGGCCACACAGTGGAGGCGCTGGGTATTGCAGTTTCCTTGCAGCAAGAAGGTCGCTAGTTTGCACCCCAGCAGTAAATGATGTCCATACATCCTTAGTGGAGAATACATATTCTCTCAGGATGTCCGATATAACGTTTTGCCGATATCCGATATGCCGATATTGTCCGAACTCTTCATTTTCGATTCTGATATCAACCAATACTGATATAGAGCTGGTAATATGTATTTATTTATGCTGTTACCAGCATTCTGCATACAATCCCAATTATTAAATCATATAATGGCTGCAATACTGCCATCTAGTGACCTTTACTTGAATATACAGTTGTTTATCCCCAAAACTATTTTTAGGGCACTTAAAACCCCGGAATTGTGCTGTTGGGTTTTTATTATCAGAAGAAAAACCAATAACGATTCTTACAGATATTACATAATTATGCTAATATCTAGCCAATAATATTGATCGGGCGATATTATTGAAGATCCCTAATATTCTCCCTTATGGTTAATTTTTAGGTTGACGTAAAAGTGTAGTTCATGTTTCTCTATACGTGGCTCTCGGACTTCCAATCTGTCCAGGTTCATGCCCCACGACTGCTGTGATTGGCCACAGCTTCCTCTGCATCCTGTGCAGTTGAAGATGAATGAAGTTATAAAAAGACTAAATAAGACAATTATTAGCAGAAGTCTTTTCTCAGTGAACTAATTCACACGGAAACGTCAACATCTGGGTTTTTGTTTATTCAGAGTCCTACTTTTACCAACCTCTGCATGCACTGACAGAATGATTAAAAACAGTTCAACTCCTGGGCGGCATCGAATGACTTCCTAACGATTTAACTCTCATATTTTGAGCTCAGTGAATTCGGTCTGTGTCTCCGTGCAAAGCTGCCAAACCAAACAAGCTCTCAATCAGGGCCTCGTTCCAATTCTCTGTGCAAAATAATCTTGCTCCGTATGAAAGCATTGGAAGTGAAAAAAGAAATGACGTCATGTCTGCCTGACGTCTCCGCATGAGACTCACAGCCTCAGCCCAGAGCTGAACTGAACTGTGGACGGAGAACCCTGACGTGGACCTTTGACTAGAACGCAGAAAAATCACGCGACCAAGATTTAAAGAAAGACAAAGGAGTCTGTCTGCAGGTCAGCCCTGAAACGACCTTTTAAAGAGCAGTTATTGACAAAACCTAATGTGATTCTTGAACGATTATCTCAGATCTTAGCTTCTCCAAGGCTGTGAGGGTACTTTCTGGTAAAAGGTCAAATTAAAGGTGAAGGAAAAGTCATGGTTCCTCACTCCTTTAATTCTTCATGTTCTTGTTCTCCCTTCAGAACTTCACAGAAAAATGTTGAGGAAATTTATAGCGTGAGGTGAAAAACACGTGATAGTTTCTTCTTCAGTCGTGATGGACAAATGGTGTGTGTGTGTGTGTGTGTGTGTGTGTGTACACACGCGCTCTGTCTCTTTAACACCTCTCTCTAACCCTCACGTTCATTTTCAGGCCCATTTTTTTCTCACTTTTCTTTGTTGTGGCTTTTAATAGCATCACCATGGCAGTGAGGAGAGGTTGCCAGGCAACTGGCTGGCGTCTTGATGGCTGTTTGATTGGCGGTCACACTGACAGACACGGCAGCAGATTGCGTGTCCGTGTGTGTGTGTGTTTGTGAGTGTGTTTGTCATCCATTTTCACTCTGCCCGTGTTCTCACAGTCAGAGCCGATCACTACGGGGTGATTTATTACATTTGATTTAACATTTACAGTATTTTATTCTTCGTAATCCTCTCTAATTGGTTCCTGATATCATTTTTATCTGTAAAAACAAAAAACAAACAAAACGCACGACAACACCATCATCTGCCTTTGATGCCAACGGCAGTGTCAGAGCTTGGCCATAGGAATGCATCACATGGAGAAAAACAGCCATGACATCATAGGGTACAGTACTGACACCTACAGGCGTTGTTCTGTCATTGCAGCAGCCTTTGTCTTTTACCACCTGACGTGAATGTTTTCCCAAAACAGTGCGGTTTGGACAAGTCCAGATTATAGTCGTAACATCGCGACATAAATGTATGACTCTATTCTCATAAATCTAATTTCTTTTCTTGTAAACTCATTTTTTATTCTCATAACGTTGTTTTTATTTAACAAAACGGTGTGACTTTAAACTCATCATTTTATATATTTTCATAAATTAACCCTTTGTGCTAATGTGAGTGCCTTAAAGTGTAACAAATGATAAGTCATGATTAAATGGAAAAATGTGACACTGACACTGAAGGATCATTTCTTTAATGATTTCGTCCTCATTCGTCATGAACCCACCCCCCATCTTTAATGCCCCCCTCCTAGTTTATTAACAGATATATACAGACACCCACGTGAGCACTGATAAGAATAATAATTATTATTATATTTATTCCTTTTCCAATAATAACAACAGATTTTAATAAATACTCAGAGTTCTTAACCACATAAGAAAAGTCAGTTTGGACTCACGTCTCTGCTGACGGGATTGTCACCATCCCATACAAACACACGCACACACACACACACACACACACACACACACACACTTATAGGAATTCACCCAGTCAGGTAAATACCATCTGCTGCCAAGACAAAGTGTCCAGTGTTTGAGAACCAATCCCCCCAGACACAGGGACCATGGAGAGACTACAGCAGGTCAGAAACGTCCATCACGGTCCTGGGTCACTATGAGGTTTACGGTGAAGTTAGGTAGTCGGCTCCTCCTCCCTGTCTGTGTCCAGTTCTACTGAGATGCTGGGGGTCCACACGGGACGTCCCTGACTGTGAACGAGGAATGTTTTCATTTATAGATATATTTAAAAAAAAAGACATTTTGACGGAAAAAACAGATGAGACGGTGTGTGTTCCAAGAAAAAACATGCACTGTAAAAGCACCAGCACGCAAATATATCACACACTTTGTTCATCCACACGTGTACAGTATTTCATACAGTAAACACATTCACACAGAACAACGGCTTCGCTAACAGGGTGAAGCA